AAAAATAAATAAATAAAAGGAAAAAGGAGATCCCAAATACACCTAGCCAAGTTTTAGGGCCCTCGCAGAATGGCAACACACTATCTCCCACCAGATGTTCAAGACAGCATAAGCCATACACACATCCTCCTAGCTTCTGCCCTGTAGCCCTAATGCTCACAAAACACACAGCCACAGTGTGATCACCCACACTCTGTGGAAACGATGGAGACCATCACTATGGTTCCCAACTTAGCATTGCTGAGGAGTGACCTTTACATTGTGGCACCACTGAATGGCCCTGGAAATGACAGGGGTCTGCACCTCATCTATACCTGGGGAAAAGCAACTACCAGGAAGGAAGCACTTGAAGAGGCAGGGTAGATGTTAACAGGACTGAGGGGGATGTGCAGCCCCAAGACCTGGGAGGCAGACCATAGAGGTGTCTGAACTTGCTTCCAAATGAGTGGCCAGCTGCCCCTAGCATGATTACCTGGGCCTGCACCCTCCAGAGATGAACAGACCTGCCTGCCCATGGCTGTGGTCAGACCCTCCCCAGGCTCAAGGATCTTCACAGAGTTGCTTATTTGCCATCAGCACAGAGCCTGAGACTGAGGCTGTGCTTAAAACCTCCTGATGTGTCTGCTGCTCTTAATTGAAGTGTCTGGATCAAGAGGATTAAAGAGCAGAAGAGCGAAAATTGGGGGGGGGGGGGCAGGTCGTGCCTCACCACAGTGCTTTGCTTTGGGGAAAAAGTGCAATGCCCAGGTGGTGCACTGAGTTGTGCCTGGATGCTGATGGGCTCAGGGCAAGCTGGTCTGACTTTTGTGCCCAGGAGGGTGGGCACATCTGAGTATGGAAGAAAGGTCGGGGCAGACCCTACCTTACATGCCTGTGGACCACAGCCATTCAGACTGGTCCCTGAGCCCCTGTTGTGCTGCTCTAGAAAGCATGGAGTCCACCACCCCTCAGTACAGCAGAGAAGAACCCTGACTCGGGCAGGATGGCACAGTGGGACGAGAGCTGCTGTCACCACTGGCATCCCACACACCTGTCAAGGCCCAAGCTGATGAGAGAACTGCAAGCCCACAAAGCCCACGGCTGGAGCCTCACCACAGAACCGGGGCAGGAGAGCCAACAAGGAACACTGAGCAGGCAACCTGCAGGAAGAGCAGAGGATGGTCAGCCTACCATGACGGGCAGGCTTCCATGAAAGTCCCTCAGTCAAGCAGGTTGGGGCTCCCAGGTGGCAGCAGCATGCTGAGACTTAAAAAATTAGCTTAGCTGGGCACAGTGGCACAGGCCTCCCCATGCAGAAGACTGAGGAAGGAGGATGGCAAGTTTGATAGCAACTCAGCAAAACCCTGTTTCAAAATAAGTTTTTTTAAATGGCTGGGGATGTAGCTCAGTGGTAAGCACCCCTGGGTTCAATCCTCAGTACTACAAAAACAAAAGAAGGAAGCTGAGGTCTGTCTGCAGGGTTACTGTTTGAGAGGACTCGCAGGGGGCTTAGGAATATAATCGTGCTCCATCTGCAACAGGACCTGGGGAACACGGGATCATGATCACACAGACATCAACCCTACTTCATGTTCAGAACAGAAAGGGACTGAGGATAGCAGCCCCCAGTCCTTATTCATGAGAAATGAGGGAAAGGCAGATCAGATTTTCTTGATCACCATGCATGGGGCCCCTTCCCAGGGCCCACAAGCCCATGCATCCCCAGAAACGAGGGCTCATGGCTCAATGACTGTCCCTGCATCAGGCTGAGCCAGCTCCGGCCTGCTAGCAAGTCTGCCCAGTAAATGTCCCAGTGAGTCGTTCTGAAGCTTCCCACTGTATCTCAATGTAGTGCCAAGGGCCCACCTGTTTGCCTTCACTGAAAACCTGTGCTTACCTGTGTGGTAAGAAGTAGCCCCCGCAAACCCCACCCCTCCCTCACCCCCACTACAAACAGCAAGCAGGAAAGTTAGCCAGTTTCCCAGCTTCAGTATAGAGGGCATGATGGAGCACAAGAACAGAAGGGCAATGCTGACAGCCACCACTACCACCAGGACCTACCCACGCCAGATTGCCACAGACACAATGTTATCACAGGCCAACTAATGCTACGTGTGGGGTCCAGGCACCCCTCACTTCAACAAAGGCCCGGGCCACCTCCTAGCTCCCAGGATTAGCTCTGACACCCTTAAGGAACACCAAAGGCCACAATGGAGGATAGGCCCCCCTGTAACTTTCCTGTCACCCAGGTAACGGCCATCAGGCAGAACCCATTAAGTGCTAATGTTCTGGTGGCTGGTGTACAAGTGCTCAGAAGCAACACTGTCACCTGTCCAGAAGGCAGTGAGGAGTGGGTGCAATGCACGGACATTATTTTGGATTGCTGAGTTCACGAATTTCTGGTCCCTTCTGACCTGGGCTTTCGAATGCCCAGCTCGCTCACAGAGCCCGTCTCAGCACTTTCTCCAGAGCCTGGCTTCCTGGGAGCAAGGGGACACTGTCCCTGGCTGCCAAGGGCAAGGAGCCTGATGATGCAGCTTTCACAAGTTGCCAGCCCAGATCAAGCAGCGCATTTCTCCCAGACAGGACTCCACAGACCAGAAGGAAGGAGGCAGTTCCACCAAGCCAGAAGGACGCTGGCCCTGGAGTAATAGAATGACAACAGGGCAGACTCCAGCAAACCTCCTTCTGGGAGGATGGAGGCCAGTTAAAGGCTCAGCATTATCATCATCAACAAGGTCTCAATCTCAGCAGCCCAGACTTCCTGGGCAAATCCCATCTCTTCAGTTTTGCTTTTGTTTTCTGAAGACAAGGTTAGACTAGAGAAGTACCTACAATACCTAACAGTGACCTCAGTAAGACTTCCTTACCGTCTACAAATTAGATACTTCTCATTTAGAATCCTGGGGTCTCAGCACCTTTCTTATTGTCAGCTTTATTTTAACTATTACAGATGAATATTCAAAACACAGCCCCCTTCCTGCACACACCTGCCCTCTGTCAAATTTTGGCGATAGGAAGCCATCTTCGTGGCTTTGTACCCCCTTGCCCTGCCTATAGCACAGAGTATCCTGACCCTGGTTCAGGTGGGCAGGAGTACACCAGCTGGTAGCCACACAGGAGCACTGAGCTTCAACATCTCCCATCACCACCCAGAAGACTCCAATGCCAATGGCTGACTGTGGGAGGCTTTCTGCACTTGGGATTCTTCTTAAGCAGCAGGTTTTTTTATTGGGCTATGTCTTCCTCTGATGTGTGCCAGAAGATAACTCCCGGGCCTGTAAGCATACTGCCTAGGGGCTGGAAACCTGGGTTTTGTTCTTGGGCTGTGATTACTGGTAAGTCCTGGAGCCTGAGCAGGCCTGTCCTTCCCCTTGGCAACTTAGAGGAGATGGACCCTGTGCACCCAGCGAGAGCCTTTCCAGTCCCAAGATTCAGCTTCGTTCACTTAAAGCAAAATAAAATGCATAAAGAAAAAAGAGAGAGGACTACAAAAGAAATTTGAGCTTTTCTTTAGTAGGAAATTTGTCATTTGGTAGTTGGCAGCAGCTCGACTGGAGGCATTTTATCTGGGTTTGGTTATGAAATTCACTTGCAAAACCCAGGGTTTTCCAGCCTAAGAGCGAGTATGGAGCTGTCGTATTTCCTGGGCTAAAGGAGCCATCTTCTTAGAGAGTTGTTACTTGGGGAAGCAAAACTGGGTCACTAAAAAGCATGTCAATGCAGACTGAGAAGTGAAAATGCCTTACTTCATTCTTGAGAAGTTTGTTTGTATTGGTTTTGTAACGGTCACAATTTTTAACCTGGGTCTCTAAACACAAAACCACGACCTGGGAGAAGGTACTTGGATGGCTACACCCACCCACACCGCGGTTCCAGACCAGCTCCCGGGGAAGCGGCTCCACGGGCCGGGACGGGGGCGCCGGGGAAGCGCCGCCGTTGGGGACGCGCCAGCTCACGCGCCCGCCGCCGGCACACCCCGGCCCTCGGACGCCGGCCCGCGCCCCCGGCCCGCCGCCGACAGTGCCGCGCGGGCTCGCCGGGCTGCCCACGCCGCCGGCCGGACCTAACGGGACGCTCCTCCAGGGACGCGCCCGCCGCGCAGGCCTCGGGCCTCGGACGCCCCGCACTCGCCGCCCGCCCGCCCGCCCGCCCGCCCCCGGGCCGGGGCAGAGTCCGCGGCGGCGAGGGCGCGGGCAGCAGCCCGAGGGCACCACGCTGGGCGGGGCGCGGCTCTCCCGGGGTTCGCCCGGCCCATCGCTGGGACGCCCGCCGAGGCGCCGTGGGGGCCGCCTCGCCGCCCGCGCCCCCTCGGGTCGGGCCCCGGGCGGCGGGGAGGCCGGGCCGCGCCGGGCGGGGAGGGAGGCGGCGGCGGGGCCGGGGCCGCACCTGGTCGGCGAAGTCCTCGGCCGTGCCCATCAGGTCGTTCTGGCCCATGGCGGCGGCAGGCTCGGCTGGCTGCTGCTCGGCGCTCGCGCTCGGCCCCGCTGCGGCCTCCACAGGAAGTGCCCGGCGGCCGGCCTCGCTGCGCGGCGCGGCTTCAGCGGCTGCCACGTAGGCCAAGCCTTAAAGGGGCCGCGTGCGCGCCGCCGCCCCGCCTCCGCGCCCCGCCCGCCGCGCGCCCTCACGCTCTGGCTCCGCCTCTCGCGCTCCATGTCCCTCCTGGCGCTCCACAGGCACCACCCGCCGCGCGCCACCGCCCCGTCCTTCTCACTCGAGGTCCCGCCCACCATGAACTATTGCCCCGCCCCGCTTTTCGAGGTCGCGCCGTCCGCTAGCCCTCCTACACCCTGAAGACCCCGTCCATCACTCGCTGTCACTCTCTCGTCACTCTCCAGGCCCCGCCCTCCGTCCGCATCTCCCCCCACCGCGCTAGAGGCTTCCCCCATTTAGTGCACCGCCCACTGCCCTTCAGGCTCCAGGCCCCGCCCCCTCTCTCTCTCGCCTCTCCCGCCTACCACTGCCTCCTCGCCCTCTAAGCTCGCGGCCCCGCCCCTTGCCCCGATCAAGCTCACCGTCCACAGCCTCCGCCCACCTCTCTCTGGGTCCGCCCTCATGCTCGAGGCCCCGCCCCCGCTCTCTGTGCCTCAGCTCCTTTAAGGCACCGGTAGCCGAGGGCGCGCGGGTGGGGGACGTTCGTTTGTCCAGAGTCAGGCAGACACACCCCGGTTGAGGGTCGCCCCTGGGCGAGGGCACGAGGTGAGGGGGGGATGGGCACCGGAGCCAACACTGCGGAGCACGCTCAGTCCAGGGTCCGGCCGCCCGCTCCGGCTCCAGGCGAGGACATACAGTGGCCTCCGGAGGGAGAGTGAGCCGAAGTTCTTCAGCTCGAGCTACCATGGAAAAGTACCAGGTGCCGTGATGTCCCCTTGCGGGGACAGGCTGCCCGGGCCCAAGGTCTGCGCGCCGCGGGGCAACGGTCACAGCCCACCCAGCACCAGGTCAACCTAGGGAGGCGGAGCCCATGTCTCAGTAGGGTCAGCCTCCAGCTGGAAGGCCACCTCTCTGGGCCTCTGTCCCCCTTTAAAATGGTGAACAGTAAGGGCTTCCAGCACTGACCTTTTGAGGTTGTGGGTAGCTCCTCCGACCTCCTAAGCCATGGGGGCCTCTAGAGGCAAAAGCAAGCCCAGAGCACACGGCAGGAGCCCCGTCTAAGTCTGCTAAAAAACACCGCTCAGCCTAGGTCTGCTAAAATGCCCATACCTGAGCAGTTTCGAAACAGAGGAAAGCCGTTAATGGACATTTAATTAAATGCTTCTATACTTACCATATCATTTTCATTAAATATTAGATTCAGTATTTGTAAAAATTTCACTAATTTGAAAACCACTTACAATTAGATTTTCCTACTGTTGGGAGATTCTGTTTATGAGGGGGAACTACCCGGGGTAAAGCGTAAGCATTTTTAGTGGTCAGAGAATTTTTAAGGTTACTTTTCAGGGGAGAGAAGAAGTCTTGATTGAGATGTGGGTGTATTTTACTGTCTAATGCACTGTATTTTACTGAGAATTCTTGCACCTGACCTCTGGCCCTGTTGATTTATGCTGCTTGGAACATTATTCCCTGAGCAGAGTCCAGGCCACACAGAGGCTGGATTACAGAATCCTGACTTTACACCCCAAAATCTGATTCAGTGTCTCATCCTATATCACCTCTTCTGAGTCCTGCTTTCCATTCCCACAAGGGTGGTTAAGAAGTGTCCACATAACCCTGGGATGGCCATGACTGATAGTACCAGTCATGGGGACAAGTTGCCTTCTTTAGATGCTCAGTTTGGAGGTAGATGCTGGAAGTTGGGGTCATGGGGGCCTAAAAGAGTGAATAAGCGTGTGTGCGGCCCGGGTTCGATCCTCAGTACCACATACAAACAAAGATGTTGTGTCCGCCCGAAAACTAAAAAATAAATAAATAAATATTAAAAATTCTCTCCCTCTCCCTCTCTCTCTCTCTCTCTCTCTCTCTCTCTCTCTCTCTCACACACACACACACACACACACACACACACACACAAACTCAAAAAAAAAAAAAGAGTGAAAAAGCCCCCCCCTGCCCCAGGTCAGTTCTTGCTCTTAGACTCCCAAAGGCCCTCTCTATAGGTTGGAGAAGGAGCATGGAGTCATAGAAACTTCAGAATTGGCCTTGGAGAGAGAGAAATACACTCCCTGGGCCATATCCTCTACTGCAAAATAGGAGGAGACAGTGCCAGCCCCCAGGGGCTGTGGGAAGCACCAGCCAAGGTATGGGAGTTGGGTTTGTACTGGGAAGTGCAAGGTGGTTTCCTCTTCATAGTTTCTCTCACTTGCTGCTAGATTTTGTACCAGCTGAGTCCTGGGGCCTTAGGGGTGAACCTGGTGGTGGAGGAACTGGCCACTGAAGCCAAGCTCGTGATAAAGCAGGTAAGAAGCAGAGCCCAGTGAACCAGGAAGAGCACATCATCCCTCAGAGGAGGCTTCCAGGACCCCTGTTGGCAGCAGGCAGCAAACCTAGCTGGGGTAGATGTGGGGGGTGGCATGGGGCTCCCCAGACTTGGAGCCTCTGCCCCCTACTTTGACAGGAAAGAAATGCTGATTTTTACTCCACCACCTACATCTACCAATCACTCATCCATACTGGGTGCCAGGCATCAATCCACTGAATATCCCTGATCCTGTCAAACAGGAACCGTGACCCCATTTTACAGAGATTGGCTTGGGGCCATCCCATTCTAATCAGATCACACAGGATCCATGAGGATTTGACTTCTGTGGGCACAGTGCTACTCTTTACAGTTTGCCAGTCTAACCAAAAGGGAACCAGACCCAGAGGGCAGGGACTAGCCCAGGGTCACACAAGGCTAAGGACAGGACCTGGAATCTCTTCACCAGGGCTAAGGCAGCAGGGTGGAGGTGCACCCCTTCCTGTGCTCAACAGAAGGTCCATCCAGGGGAAGAGAGCTGCTATAAGAGTGGCTGGCACACCCTTCTCTCTCAAGTGGGGACAGGTACACAGGGGGAGCAGGAACTAACCTTGTAGATAAAGGAACCTCATTAGCAGCCTCATATCCGCCAGGCCTGTGTCTATGCAGCCCAGCAAGCAGCCTCATCCCTAGGTAGCTGGTCCTGGAGTCCTTGTCCACCTCCTGTTCTGTTGCTGGCTGGCCCAGTGGTCAGCCCTCTCATCTCACAGATCAATGAGCCAGGAGACCTTTTTAAAAGCCCAGCCAGTGGGCTAGGGATGTGGCTCAGGGGTAGAGCACTTGCCTAGCGTGCATCACGCCTGGGTTCTGCCCCCAGTACTGCAAATCAATCTATAAATAATTAGCAAATAAGGCATTTTTTCCATATATATATATATATATATATATATATATATATATATATGGTAGGGAGTGTGTGTGTTCCTCTAGTCTTTTTCCTAAGCATTTATAAACTTTGTTTTTATAAGAGTGGTATATTGCTGAAGCTGATGGCATCCTTTGTCCACCTAATAGATTGTGGAAACTGCCCCATTTCAGCACCACAGCTTCCTCCTCTCCTGATCTGGTGGCCGTGTGGCTGCCTCTCTTGCTTGATGTGCTGTGGTTGACCCTACTGTCACCTCATGTGGGTCGAGTGGTCTGCCCATTCTCAGTTCCTCACTGGTATAAATAGGTCTGATGGACATCCTCACAAATATATTTTTCTTGAGCATCGTGGTTTCCTCAGGGAAGAGCTCTAGGAGAGGGATTTCTGGGCCTTTTCAAGGCTTTCAGGGTATTTTGGCTGACTATCCTACTCATGATGGCAATGGTGGCCGTGATAATCACCGTGCATATGGTGGGGTGATGGGGTGGTCATGGCAGTGATGACAGTGATGTAGGGGGGTGGGCTGGGATAGTGGGGTGGTAGTGACGGTGATGGCAGTGGTGATAATGATGGTGGAAGTTTTAGTGATACTGATAGTGGGGGTGGCAGTGGGATGATGGGGGGGTCATGGTGTCAGGGGTGATGGCAGAGGTGGGGGTGGGGTAATGGGGGTGGTGATGATGGGCAGGTCACAGGGTTGGGGATGGGGATGGCAGTGGAGGTGGTAGAGGAGGGGTTGATGAGGATGGCAGTAGTGATGAGAGTGAGGCGGTAGTGAGGGTGATGGTAGTTGAAGAGGCTCATTGACCTGGTGTCCCTGTGTCCCTCCAGGTGGAATGCCTTGATGAGCATCATACCAATGAGGCCCTGGAGGAGGTGACTCTCTGGACAGTGTTCTCTCTAGAGGAACAGGATTCAGCATACTTATAGAGACTGTTCTGCACCCCCTTGTTGAGTGACAGGGTGAAGGGAAGTCATAATTAGTTCTTGGCCAGATCCTAAAGGGAGTCCATAACCCAAACACCCACTTCTAAATGTGGGAACTGCCCATTTAAAACACACCTTCCCAAAGGAGATGAAGCTTAACTGTTGGCTCAGTCCCTAGGCTAATCCACCAATAACCATCTCTCCAAAAGATGATTTTGTTTAGGGCTGAGGTGTAGTTCAGTCCAGAGTGCTTGACTGGTAAGGCCCTGGGTTCATCCCCAGCACTGCAAAAGAGAAACTTTTTTTTCCTTCAACTATGAAAGTATTAGTTACAGTGCAAATTTTGGGAAATGCAGAATTATTTAATAATGAAAATGTAATTCTGCCATCTTAATTCTACCATCTGGAATGGACCAGTGGCAGCAGCCTGATTTACAATAATGGCACACTTACACTGCCGACAAGCAAGCTGCTCACGCCTGGCCAGCATCTGAGCAGTTACCCATCAGCCCATATTCTCCAGGTTAATTGTTCCTGATGCCCACCTTGATTTGTTTTCAAAGCACTCTGCTGGGTCAAGGGAACTTCAGGTGGGCTCACCTGCCCCAGCCAGCCCCAAAGGTGACATATCCTGCACACCATCACTTGACCTGCATCACCTCCCCGTGAGGCAGGTTCCACGGGAACCACCATTTTAATTTTCAGTTTTATTTTTTGCAGAGCTGGGAAGGGAATTCAGGGCCGTGTACATGCTAAACAAGAACTCTGCCACTGAGCCACACCCCAGCCCACTGCTGTTTTCAGATGAGCACATGAGGCTCAGAGATGCTGACAGTCTGTCTCGGTCACACAGCACAGCAGTGCATGCTGGGACTGGCCTCATACAGACCTTCCGGCAGTTAGCCATAAGGCTGCACTGCCTCCCTGCCCTGGCTCCCCTGCCTTGCCAGAGCCAGCAGCTTGCGTTTCTGTTGGGATATGTGACAGAGGAGCACCAGCTGCACACTGTGCTTCCCTGACCACAGTTTCCTCCCTCTCGTCCCCACAGCTCAGGCCTCTGCTAAAGCTTCAGCACGCCCACATCTCCCTGTACCAGGAGCTGTTCATCACGTGGAACAGTGAGGTGGGTCAGGTGGCACCTGCGGCTGGGCTGCAGCACCAAGCCCACTGAGCGTACCCTGCCCACAAGGCGCTGCCGGACCAAGTGTGGCAGCCCCCACTCAACAGCTGTGGGGGTGGGAACCACCTGGGGGCTTACTGTGCACAATTCCAGGTGAGCCCTCAAGGGCCTCCTCCGAGGAGGGCTGCCAACGAGTGCCACATTCCTTTAGGCTTCCTGGCTCACATGTGGCAAACAGGGGACCCAGCCTGGTGGCCCCACTCCAGCTCCCCACCTGCAGCCCCAGCCGAGCAAGTCTGCATGGCTGACAGGAGCCTGCATTCCAGGGGGAAGAGGCTGGTCCTAGGGAGCTGCTGCTCTGCCTCCCACTGCCATTTGCCACCCAGTTATCTCGGCCCCCAGGCCCCTCACTCCCACAGCTCCTGCACAGTTTACTAACTGGCTCCATGTCTGCTCACATCCTGGGAGATCCACAGGGCTGGAAGTACTGTCCTCATTTTCCTAATGGGGCTCAGAGAGGTCATGGAGCTCCCCAAAGCCAGACAGCTAGTAAAGAGTTGAGTGGGGTTCAAATCCAGGTTTCTTGCCCATGCCCTGGGTCCCTTCAGGTATGACTTCTATCGCTTCAAAGAGCTGGAGCTTTCCAGAAACTCCAGGCTGGCAGGCCTTGGCCACCTCTCCACATATCCATGTCAGTGTCCCACTGGACCAGGGGGTCCTACCCAGCAGCCAGGCCCGGGGAAGCCAGGGGAAAGGCCCCCCTGCATGCTCCCACACATATTGTGAAGTACTCATGGAATGGGGCAAAAAAGCCAAGAAGACAGGTCACTATGGAGGGAGCAAGACAGGCTCCTCAGAGGAAGTGCATCTCAGCTGACACCCAGGGAAGCCGCCACCTGTGAAGAGTGAGGGCAATCCCAGCAGAGAGGTCCCCACTTCCAGTGGCTGCAGCTGTCGGGAAAGGCCAAGCAACTGGGAGCAGATAGAACCTGGGGTGGCGGTGCCTGGTAATGGGGAGACAAGAGGCAGGGCCTCCAGCCAGCAATGTAACCAAAGAAGTGACACCACAGAGTATCTGGGCCTTGTGTCCCCGCAGGTCTCCTCTCTGTCCCTCTGTCTGGTGATGGAGTACAGCCAGGGTAGCCTCCAGATGGTCATTCAGAGTAAGAGGGAAGAGAAGGCAGTCATGGATCCAAAGGTAACACAGACCCAGCCTGGGGCCTGCGGCCCCATGGGGCAGCCTAGGCAGAGGGGAGGGTAGTTGCCCAGCGTGTGAGGGGTGCATTAAGTCCACCTCAAGTCCACATCTTTTGTTTTTTTAGAGATAGAGAATTTTTAATATTCATTTTTTAGTTTTTGGCGGACACAACATCTTTGATTGTATGTGGTGCTGAGGATCGAACCTGGGCCGCACGCATGCCAGGCGAGCGCACTACCACTTGAGCCACATCCCCAGCCCCTCAAGTCCACATCTTGACACTTTACACACACCTGCCTCTAGCCTCCAGAGGAGGCCAGAGCTGACCCCAAAACCAGAGGTCCACAGCCACCACCTGCCTCCAGAGACTGTCATCATGCAACTCCTGAAGTTCACTCCAAAGGGCTTGGCTGGGGAGCCAACCTTGCTCATCCCTCCTCCTCGGGTCTACCAGATCCCTCTGCGCCCTCCGGTGCTCCTCTGGTCACCTTTGAGGCACTGATGGGCCTTTGGTGGCTTCTGGCTTGGGCCTTTTTAAGTCAGGCTGCTGTGGAGGAGTGGAATTGTCTGAAAAGCTGGCGTGGGCCTGGGAGGGTGGTGCAGGTGGTTCCCAGGGCGAGGTTGCTCTACCACACTTCGAGGTTCCAGTCGGCTCGGGTTGCTGTGGAGGCTGGGAGTGAGTTTCCATTATGGCTGGCCTGGCATTGGCCTGCAGAGTGATTGTGGTGAGGACAGTCTGGGCATGGAATCTCTTCTAGTACTTTTGCTCATTTCAACACGTACAGGGTCTTTTTCCTAATGATTTGTAGTTTGTTTATTTTTTAATCTGGACAGGGTATCCAGAGATCTCCTCCCAGTCTATGGCTTGCCAGTTCCCTTTCTTAGCAGTGTCTCCCGGCCAGCAAAGGTCCTCATCAAAATGAAGTCAGGTGCATCAGTGTCATCCCTTCTGGCCAGTGTCTCTTGAGCCCTGGCTTAGGCAGCCTTCCTCCCACCTCCTGTTTCCTTCTCGAAGCTTGGTCACTTTTCACTTTCACCTTTGGGTCTGGGCCAGCCTACATGCATTCTGCTTTCCTCAAAGTACTCCTCTGCTTGGTGCCATCTCTCCACGGGGCTCAGGGGTACCTAGCTCCTCTGGTGAACTGGCCTCTGAGGCAGACTCCACGGTGGCTTTGTACATGTGTGCAGTGGGGCCCTTTGGAACATAGATGTTGCCACTCTACCAGGGCTGGGAGGAAGCTAGGGCCCTGCAGCCCAGCCCCTGACACCCTGGGGTGGCCTAAGGCACCAGTGTGGAAGCCAGGGGTCCTAGGAACACAGTTTGAAAAATCACTGCCCTGGACACTAGATGCAGCTTGTTTCTTACACAGAATGCTTCCAGAATGTTCTCTTTCAGGGCTCTTTTCACTCTAATGGAACATGAAGGGGCAAGGCCCAAGCAGGCATTGTAGGCTTTAACATGTCAGATACCCACAAGGGCTGCATGCCAAGAGCTCGAGCAGGTGTGGGGCAACGGGCCACAGGTGGCTGCTGGAGGCAGGGCGTAGGGTCAAAGCCCTTGGGCACTGGGGTCTGCAGTGTGCCCCTGTCCTGCTGTCTGCTGAGCTGGCACCTGCCTAACAGTAGTGCATGGAATCCCACTCAGGAAGTTCCAGGCCCCTCCCCTTGCTGGCATCTCTTGCTTTTTCCCCAGTGGATGCAGGAAATCCTGGGTCAGATGTTGGACGCTCTGGAGTACCTGCACCAGCTGAGCATCATCCACAGGTGACAGTCCTCTTCCTAGGGGTGTCCAGCTGCACGGGTACCAGCACCCTTGGGCAAGATCTGGGCCCAGTAGGATGGCACCTTCCCTGGCTGAGGGAGGGGAGCAGGGCCCTTCCCTGCTGCCTTGAGTGACTCACCCCACAGTGCACAGCTGCATGATATGCCATGGCCTGGGCAGGGTGGCTCTAAAGTGCAACAGAAGAAGCAGATAAGACACCTGGAGGACGGGTGAGGCTGCCTGTCATGGCGTAGCCTCTGGATGGCCAGCATGGGCTACTGCACCATAGGTCCAGCCTTCAAGCTGCCAGTGGTATGGCTTCAGGCTCCAAGGCCCCTGTGGGAGGGGCTGGGGAGAGAAGCACATGGGCTGTGTGTACGAAGGGAATGTGAGTGAGGCCTCACGGTGGGTCTTACAGAATGGTGGACAATCAGTTCTCAGACCAGTGGGAGCCAGGACCTGTGGGAAGGGATACCAGGTTAACTAGGGCCTCCATAGCTGGGTGTGCCCATTGTACTTGGGCTTTCCCCCAATTTAAAATAACTGATAAGATCTTATGTGAATGAGAAATAATCATTTGCCAAGCAGGAGGAGAAGGAATTTTCTAGTGGGGGGGTGGGACACTCAGGCTCAGGGCAGGTGCTGTCCTAGGGGAAGGTCCCCTGGCAGCCCATAAGCACCAGATCCCCATCTCTTGATCACAGGAATCTCAAGCCTTCTAACATCAGCCTGGTCAGTAAAAACCACTGCAAACTCCAGGACCTGAGCTCCAACGCACTGATGACCCACAGAGCCAAGTGGAATGTCCGTGCAGAGGAAGGTGGTTGGGGTCCTCCCAGGAGGCAGGAGAGGGTGGCTGGAGACAGGCAGGGATGGGCAGCGAGAAAGGCAGTGCTGAGCTCGTTGCTTAGAAGGTCCCCACAGAGCTCCCTTTGGCTGGTTGTGCCTGAGCAAGAGTCCCTCATGGAGAACAGACACAGGGTCAAAAGACAGGGCCATTGGGGAAAAGAGCCCCAAGGAAAGAGCAGTCACCTGGGTACCCCTGAAAACGTAAACCTAGTCAGGGAGAAAGCCCCCAAAGGAAGGAGATTAGAATGGGGAGTGGGGAGGACCTGCTGACTCAAGTGCTATCCTCAGATGGCCCAGGAGATAGTGGAGGGCTGCAGGGAGCAAGTTCTCTTCCTTCAAAAGGGGAACAGTGTGAAGGGAGGCAGGCCTCAAGCCTGTAACATCACGTGCAGAACCCGAGTCCTGGGTGGCAGTGGTTGGTGGCACTCTGCCCTTGGATTGGGTCGATGGATGATGGACGGATGATGGAGGTGAGCCTGTGGAGGGGTGGACTGGTGGGAGGTGACCCTGGCGTGGGTTTTAGAGTCCAGGCCTTTGTTGTGTGGCTGAGAAATGGGGTGCAGAGAAGGAAGGGCTGCTTGAGGCCAACAAACCAGCCTGAGGACCCTGCTCTTTTGTCTCCTCTGGGGTTCAGGTTGAGAACCTAGGGCAGGGCCACTGGGACTCTGCCCCAGGGTCCTGATGTGTGGAGGGAAGGATGTTGAAAGAGGTATACATCCTAGCCGCTTGGCATATGCTTGGCAGCTCCTTCTACAGCGGTTGTGGGCACAGACATGCCCACAGATGGGCCAGCCTGCCAGACACCTGTCAGTATGGATGGCTTCCCTGACTCAAGGTCAAGGTGAAGGTCTAACTGAGCAAGGAGGGACCCCTCACTGCCCACACCTATACTTCTTGCTTCACCCAAGAAGGGCCACTGAAGGGCTCATATTTCTAGCTGCTTGCAGGTGGAAACCAAAAAGGAGACAGTGTTGGGCAGGGTGGCTCTGCTCTTCTGCCCCTTCAGGGGACATAGGACTCAATGGATCCCTGCCTTGTTCCTGCCAACAGACCCCTTTCAAAAGTCCTGGATGGCCCCCGAAGCCCTGGACTTCACCTTCAGCCAGATGTCTGACGTCTGGTCCCTGGGCTGCATCATGCTCGACATGGCCAGCTGCTCCTTCCTGAATGTAAGCTGCCTTCCTGGGAGAGGCGGGCCCTCGCCCTGCTTCCCGTCAGCACCCACACTCTGCTCGACGCAGGCACAGGGAGCCCTTGAGAGGAGACAGGCAGCAGAGTTTGTGCTCACTTGGTGGCTGTGGGTCCTCAGCCCTGCCCCTGGCAGCAAGGAAACCCTGGTCCAGGCACCCTAGAGTCGGGGGTGCCTGTGGCTGCAGCTCAGGAGACTGGGCAGGAACACTTGGGGCTGTGTGTCACACAAGCCTGCACGTGCGTGGCTCTTCTCTGTTCTGCATGTCCTAGCATATGGCTCCTGCTCTCATCTGTGCTAGGCCTGCCTGCGGACAGGAAGGAGGGGCAAGGCAAGGGTCAGGGCACCTTGTATGGCCCCTTGGCCACCCTGACTTAGGGAGGCTGGGGAGCTGAGAGCAAGGACACACCACTGGCCACCTAGGTCCATCACTAGTCACAGGGAATCCAGAGAGCACAGGTGGCTGGCTGGGCCTCAGCATCCCCACTATCTCCCAGGTGGCTCAGTTCAGCTTGAGAGCACCTTGCTGCTCCCTTCCTACAGGGACTCCAGGGGAGTGAGGGACCTCCTGCTCCAGGCTGTGTGCTGTGTTGAAGGGTCTGGGCTCCAGTGCTTCCCTGGCACTGGGTGATCTTGGGCACTTGCTTCTGAGTGTTTTGTCATCTGGGTCCAGATAAGGGCCTCTGGGCAGAAATGGACAAGGCACATGGTCCCCTGCCTGCCTCTCCACTCAATGAGATGGCCCTCTTGCTTCTTTGAACCTCTGTTTCTTCTTCATAGAGGAGCTCCAAGGCTCCTGTGGCCTCTGCTTGTGGCCTGACTCTGGCTTTCACTTAGTTGCAGAAACTCTGTGTCCTCTCTTCTGGTAGGCTACAGAAGCCATGCACCTACGGAAGTCCCTCCGCCAGAACTCTGGCAGCCTGAAAGCCATCCTGAAGACCATGGAGGAGAAACACATCCCAGATGTAGAAACCTTCTCTTCCCTCCTGCCCTTAATGTTGCAGATCAACCCCTTGGATCGAATAACAATCAAGTGAGCTCAGGGTTGGGTTTTATTTCAACCTAGCAGGCTCGTTCAGCATCTCTCCACCGACACAGACGTGGCTGCTGGCTCCACCCTATTTCCCCCTGCATAACTGGGTTTTTCCCAGCATTGTGGCTGTCCCAAACTACTTGGCAGCCAGCCACCTGGACTGCACATCTCTGCACACTGGCACAGTGGGCCTGGCTCCAGCAGGCACAGGTGGTTCAGCCCCAGGGTATTTCTCAGGCTCCAGGAAAAAAATGTCCATTCTAATTCAAAATCAGAAGGAAAAGGTGAACCCTGCATGGGTTGTATTGACCTCTTAACCAGCACAGTCATCAAATCTGATGATGTCTCTGTGAAGGGGCCCAAAAGGCAAAAGCACAAGGATCAGGACTCCTCTGGGGCCCTGAGCCTTCGCAGGGAAGGTCCTTGGAAGTGGGATTGCCAGGGCACTGGCTGGACACATAGCACATCAGGAGAGATTTGGCCAAGCAGATCTGAAAGGGAAGGCCAGTGTCCAGGGCTCGTCCAATGACAAGCAGCCTTCAGCCCAAGGCAGAGGGGCAGTGCATGAGACACCATGGGGGAGGCAGCTGGTGCAGCTGGCTCTCCCTGCTCCTCTGCCAGGGCTGTGGTTCGTATGACCTTTGTGAGTGGCTCATTCAAGTCCTCATGTGTGGCCATGACCCTGCACCAGCAGGTGGTGCCCGAGATCATCACCAGCATACTGTTAGAAGGCAACGTCACCAGCATCTTAGGTGATGGTGGGGACATGGGGTGTGTTGGGAGCTGTCCTTGGCCTTGGCAGCCCATTGTTTGGCTGGTGCCTCCCCACTACCCAGTCCAGTAGGCCCCCTCCTCATTCATGTCCAGGGTGCAGGAACATTCCAGGCTCTTCACCTCCACTCCATCCCAAGACTGCCCTGCTTAAATACCCTCCATAGCCCCCGTCACCTACAGCACAAAGTCCATTTCCTCAGTCTGGCCCCATGTACCTACCATCATTCGCTACACAAATCCTCTGCAAGGCTACATGGGCTCCTTGCTGCCCATCCCCCTAGAGCCCCTGCCTTTGTGGGTCCACACCCTGGCACACAGTGGTCCCTGGGTATCCCCACTTAGCCAGTGTGCATCCTGCAAGCCAGGGTGAGGGCAGCACACACTGAGACTCAGGATGGTTCCCAGAGACTTGGCTCGATTCTGGATCAACCACTTGGTCCTAGTGGCCTCATCTGTGAAGTAGGGATAAGAATGCTACCTCATGGCCAGAAGACCTGGTCCCCAGCAGGGTCCCCATGTCCTCCCTATTCCCTACAGAGGCCATGGAGAGCTTCCCCAGCCGTCCTGAAGTTCAGCTCAAGGCCATGAAGAGGCTTTTGCAGATACCTGAGGACCAGCTAGGTACAGCCCTGCTTCTCCCCTCGCCGGCTGCCAGCAGTGCTGTTTACACCTTGGAGGCCTGTTCACGTTCCCAGGGGGGTCCTGTGCCTCATTATCTGCCTGGACAGGAAGCAGTCTGGAATTCTTCCCATGCCTCTCCTGCCAGGCAGAGAAGGGTGGGGATGGGTGACCTCACCTGATTTTTAAGGGGTCCATAATAAGGTACCCATCTCTCCAGCCACTCTATGATGGGCATTGGAGTTTTCTTAGATCCCACTCCATGAACGGCACCCAACAGACCACTGCCTGTGCACATGTGCCCCCAAGAGCTCCTATAGGGTGAGCTCTGGTGTCAGGGTGAGTCCTAGTGATGGCCAACCACAGACACACTGACATTCTGCCTGTTGTGTACCAGAGAACACAACACCCCTGTATCCATGATTTTGTAGTTTTTGCTGAAACATGCTTTTATAGAATCTCTCCGCCTAACCTCTCTCCTGCTTGAATATGACACGCCCATGCATCCCCCTTTCATCCAGCCATTCATCCATCTTCCCTCCACTCACCTGTCCATTGTCCATCTGTCCACCTTATATCCCACAAGACATATACTAAGACTCCTCTGAGGACTGTCCCAGTGGCTGAGGCTTTGGGGATTATGGAGGCAAACTGTGGCCTCCTAGCAAGGCAGTAGGCAACTCATATTGGCCATTGCCCCCAAAGCCAGATCCCACGTGCTGCTAAGCTATAACCAGGATAAAGCTCAGAGGGAGATTTTGCCTTCCTGTAAAATGGAGACAGTTGGGCCCTTTACCCAAGATTGGGCTCTTCCCACCACCTAGAGCCATGCCTGCCTCAGTGAGCTTCTGGAAGGGTCCACCATGGCTTCGTGTCCTGGGTGCCCCATCTGTCCTTGCACCCTCACCAAAGTCACCTATGCTCTTCTGACAAGGAAAGGGCTGGGAGGGCCTCGTGGTGCCAGAAGTACAAGATAGCATGCCCCTGCGGTGCTGGCGCTTGGAGGCTGAGGCAGGAGGATCTATTGAACCCAGGAGTTTGATACCAGCCTGGGTATCATACTGAGACTCCACTTCAAACAAAACAAAAAAACACTGAGAGGTTGAAGCTCCGAGGTGGAGACGGGATGCAGCATGCACGCCCTGGGCTTGGTTCCCAGCAGGGTCCCCTGGCAGGCCTTGAGCACTCCATGCACATGTGGACAGATCATCTTTGCTCTCCTCTTCACCTACCTGGGGCCCCTCTGATGTCTTGTAGAACCCCAGTGGTCTCTGGGTCTCAGGTCTACTCCCACATGCCTCACCTGTGCCTCCTACCTCACCAGGGCTGCCATGGCCCATGGGGCTGGTGGAGGTGGTGGTCACCGCTATGAAGCTGCATGAGAGGATCCTCGACCTGCAGCTTTGTGCCTGCTCCCTGCTACTGCGCATCCTGAGCCATGGTGGGTGCAGGGCAGGCTGGGGACACTCCTGGTGCTTCCAGCCCACACCAGTTACCCCTGGGTGTGTGGCCCTCTCAACAGCTCAAACCCTTGGGCAGCAGGTCAGTGCCGTCCCCTGCTGCCCATGCCGCCACCTCTGCTGCCCTCTTACTAGCCTCTCCTGGGGGCACAACCCACCCTCCTGGGGCAGCTCAGAGGACCCCATCCTGTCATCTGACCCCTTGCTCATCTGACCCCTTCCTGGGACAACAGGCCACAGGCCAGGAGTCTGGAGATGTGGGCTACACTGTTGTGCCCCTGGGCAAGCACCTGTCCCTCTTGCTGCTTTCCCAGCTATGCAAGAAGGTGCTGGACAGGATGGGGTCCTCCCCCCCAGCTCTCTGGATCATGAAGAACAGGTTCAACTGACTTCAGTTCTTACAACTACCTATCTACCTAAACTCTCTGGTTTAAATATTGAGGGTTTCACTCCCATGTGCCATTCATTCAGACTGTGTCCTTTTGTTTGCCTTTGTGGTGCTGGAAGCCAAGCCCTTGCTCATGGTGGCAAGCGTTCTTCCCCTGAGCTGAGCCCCAGTCCTGAATTGCGTTGTTTACTTTGCCCCTTCGCCACAGACTCAGCAAGCTCTTGGAAGCCAGCACCAGCCTGAGGTGCCACAGACTGGCAGTGCAAGGGCCTTAGGTTTATGGACACCTGCTCCATGCTGGAGAACAAGGCAGACCTGTTTCCTTAATTAAAAAAAAAAAAAAAAGCAGAAGTGCTGTCCCCAAGCCAGGCAGGGAGGATATGTGTGCCTTGCTGTCCCCCGCATCCTCAGCTATGGGGTTAACCCAGGTTCCTTCTGTGGCCTGTGCAGTGCTGGTGCAGGATGCAGAAGCCCAGGTGCCATGGGATATCTCCATCATCTGCTCCCTGCTGAGCATCATGCGGAGCCACTCAGACTCGGAGCAACTCATCACCCAGGGCTACAGCCTGCTCACCATAATCTCTAGCCAGGGTGGGTGTGCCGGCCCTTCCTGCCTTGCCTCCTGCACACTCTAGGAAGCCAGGCTGCAGAGCACAAGCTGTGGAGGGCCAGCTTGGACACAGGCAGAGGTGGCACAGGGCCTGCTGCTGAGATAGCACGCCACATGGTCGGCAGAGGCTCTGGTCCCATGCTGGTGGTTTTTCTGTGCTCTGGAGGCCAGGCTCCACTTTCACAGGCATACTACATGCCAGGTTTGGCCACAGGCCTTGCACGTTTGCATTTCACATTCACATGCTCTGTGCCCATGGTCAGGGGGGCAGCAGGCACCCAGGCTGTGCCCCAGTGGATGAGAGGTCCTCACCAGGCTCCCCTGGGACCAGGTAACACCCTTTCCTTCCTCCTAGCCCACTCACAGGTGGGCATTGTCCTCCCAGGGGAAGCCAGGGCTCCTGAGAGCCCAAAAACACCCGTCAGGTCCTATGGTGGAGCAGAGCTGAGTATGAGCCCACCACTCCAGACCTGATGACCTGTCATCCTTCACTGATCCACTCTGTGAAGTGAGAGGCCCAGGAATAGGCATCACACAATGACCAGGCAGGCTGTGTGCTGGGAAAGGCCACAGCTGACCTAGGAAGGCAGGCTGGGCTCTGGGCTGAGGAGTTACAGCCATGGGACTCAGCCTAGTCATAGGTGGGAGGTGCTGAGTGGCGGCCCAGGAAATGCACAGCACCTGGGAACCCAGGGCAGCAGTGTTCTGGGAAGGCCTGCTGGAAGGGCCTCCCTCTCTCCCACAGTGCAGGTCTCCGAGGAACTACAGAAGGCGGGGCTGTTTGAGCTCATCCTGGAGCACCTGCACAGATTCTCCAAGGACAGGGACATCTGCTTCAGTGCCTTGGGCCTGCTCTGGTCCCTCCTGGTGGATGGTGAGGCCCTCCTTCTCAGGCTCCCACTGTCTGACTCCCAGGAGACTCTGCCTTCTGTCTCTTGAACATGTGAGAGTGACCTTGGCCACTAAAGGGAGACTGGCAAGAAGAGTGGGAGGGGAGGGGAAGGAGCCCAGTGTGTCCTGTCCAGTGGGCAGTCCCTGGCACCAGAGATCAGCCAGAGAGTTGGATGCCTTATCCTGATTTTCAATGCAGAATAGGGGCCCCTAGGCCTACACTGCCCCCTCTCCAAGGCCTCACCTTGGTACTCCAGAGAACAGTGCTCCAAGCCATGGCAAGCTGGGGAAACCTGAGACCCCACTGTCCCCAAGGTGCCAGAGTCCCCTCCAGACTCATCGGCAAGGAGGCCCCCACCCTCCATCTGTCCTCTTACGTTTTCTGCCCTGCTTGGTGGGTGGAGCAGCAGGTGGGGCGTGTATATAGTAGGCCCTCATGCACACACCCAATGCCTGGGTGTCCCCCACCCCTGTCTTGGATCCAGCTGTCATTGTGAACAAAGACCCTGTGGTGAAGATCCCAGCCCTGGTCATCCAGGTGCTGGACACCCACCCCACAGATGCAGAAATAGCTGAGGCAGGCTGTGCGGTGTTCTGGCTGCTGTCCTTGCTGGGTGAGGAGCTCAGGCCCTTGAGAGTGAGTGGGGAGGGCAGCCCTGGACACAGGGCAACCAGGTCCCTGTCCTCTGCAGGCTGCATGAGTGAGTGGCAGTTTGAGAAGGTGGTGGAGCTGCTTTTGCAAAGCATCCGGCTGAGCCAGGAAAGAGTCCTGCTGGTGAATAATGCCTACCGAGGGCTGGCCAGCCTTGCCAAGGTGTCAGGTGAGCCCAATGTTAGGGCAGAAATCAGCCCTGGTCAGTAATGTCTACAGCTTCCCACAACCAAAACAGGAGGAACAAAATGACTCAGTCACATCACTGAGGAGATGCCACCGAGGCTGCACACAACAGGCAGCCTCTGCCTTTTGCTTAATGCTGCCTGTTATCTCCCTTCCCTGTCCACCCCCTGTGGGTCCATGCAGGCTCTCAGCATACAGGTCTGTCTCCAATTCCTAAGCACAAACCCTGGCTCTTATTTAGTGCCTTGCGCCAGGCCCCATGCTGAGACTGGCAGCTATCCCTCGCAGAGGGCACTTGGGGTCTGGGGACTGGCCAGTCACCAGAGGCGCATGGTGGGGCCGAGGCCTCTGCTTATGATCTTGACCTCTGTGCTGTGTGGCCTTCCTTAGAGCAGTAACTACGCCCTTGGGGAGGACTTCCGGCTCCTCACCTGGCTCTTCTGGCCATGCCAGTCTACTGGGCTGCCCAAGATGATGGGGCCGCCTAGGGGGAGCGGGGGCTGTCTACTCCTGTCTTGGAAACCCCATGCTCAGCAACCTGTGTGAGAAAGGCTCAGCCCCTCTGAGGTCCCATGCCAACTCTAGCAGGGTGGGTGGGCCACCTGGATGGGGAGCAGAGCTGGTCAGACTCCTGTATGCCTCTCAGCTGGGGCCTGGAGGTGGAGTGGCCTTTCCTCCTGGTCAGAGCAATGCCTGGGCCTCAGGTCCCACCAGCAGCCTACCACAGGTTAGCTGTCAACTCCTTCTAGGGACAGCTGGGGAGGTCAAGGCCCTGGGGGAAAAAGGGACATGGTCTCCACCAAGGGAGCAGGACCTGAGCCAGGCTGGGTGAGTTGCAGCCCCACCACCTGGCCTGGTGAAACTTGCACCAGCATATGCCTCTGGGCCTGCCTCCCTAGGGAAGGGAGTACACGGGCCAGCAGGAGCAGGGCTTTTGCTGTGGGTGCAAAGCTGCACTGTGGGAAAATGGAGCCAGCAGAGCCCAGAGCTTGGGACGGGGATGGGGCCCAATGTTGAGTTCTCCCAGCAACCCATGAAACCAGTATCATCACTACCCATCTCTCAGGGGAACCTTGGGCTGAGGAACTGTCCCAAGACCAAATGCACAGTGCCAGCACTAGACTGGGAACCCTGTCACCTCCTCTTCCCCAGAGCTGGCAGCCTTCCGGGTGGTGATGCCACAGGATGGTGGCAGTGGCCTCACCCTCCTGCAGGAGACCTATCAGCTGTACAAGGATGACCCTGAGGTGGTGGAGAACCTCTGCATGCTGCTGGCCCACCTTTCCTCCTACAGTGAGGACCCCCTTGCCCTACCTGGGAGCAGTGGTCATGGGGGAGGGAAGGAGCCCTACAGAGATGGCCCCAAACTTTCCACTCACCTGGCACCCCTGCACAGGGCATAGCTACAGCCCAGGACAATGTATTAACTATGGAACCCAGGGCGGCACTCTGCCCATGCCCTAAGTGGCACTGGGACCCTGCCTTGCCCTCTGGCTGGGCTCTGGGTCTCAGTACCCTTTCTGTTCCACCAGAGGAAATCCTGCCAGAGCTGGAGTCCAGTGGCATCAGGGCTCTGGTCAGAGAGATCCAGGGGCGCTTCATCTCCAGCCTGGTGAGTGACAGGAGGGCCTTCAGCAAACTAGGCCAAGCCCCTATACCTGGGGACATGGGCTGGGCACGTTTACTTGGAGCAGGCTCTGAGTGCTGTGGGCAGACTTCAGTGACACTTCCCTGCCTATTACTCCATCTCTGGGACTGGGCCAGTCAACCCTGGGGGGAGGGGGTGACCAGGTTTCACAAATTGGTGGATTTCATCAGTTAATGGCTCCGACCCCAAACCCTCCAAGAGGAACCTGCCTATCCCTTCCAGGAGCTGGTCTCTTATGCAGAGAAAGTATCCCTGAGTCTGGAGGCTGCACTGCACAGCTCCCAGGAAAGGAAGCTGCTTGGAGCTGCTGTCGGGGAGGAAGCAGCTGCTCCTAAGGTCCCCTTTCTCCCGGAGGGCCGCCCCCACCTGCCCTGAAGCACCTGCCTTCCTGTCCTAGGTGTAAGTGGGGAGGAGGACGTTAGGGACCAGTATGCACGTCCCGCTATGCCCAGTAACTAATAAAGAGGCCCAAGGCTGGTTCCAGGTATGTCCGAGTCACTGCTGGTATAGAAGTGGCAGGTCATGGTGGTGCTTGGTGGCACAGTCTGCAGGACTTGAGGGTTCTAGCTGAGGGGAAGGAACTACCCTCCACAAGCTTCATTTGTTTATTGTTACATGGTGCTGGGGCAGGCCTGGCCCACGCAGGGGAGGTGAGTGCCCACCACTGAGCCAACCCAGCCCCACAAGCTCCATGTGAGGTGAGCATCTGCCTCTGTGCCAGCAATGTCCTCTGTGGGTGCACACTGTCCACACAGCTATCAGACGGCCTGATGAAGCCCTGGGCTTGGTGCACTCCACTCCTGATCAGTTCCCAGAGAGATCCTCAGACCCAAGCCTGGCCTGAAGACCGCAGGCTGGCCCATAGGTGCTCACAGACTGGCCAGCTTGGCTGCCAAGGTTGGCAGGGAGCTTCAGGAATAGAAAAGTGTGTCCCGAGTCTCACATGACTGGCCGTGGGGAGAAGCCTCTGCTGGTCTGCTGGATGCTGGCCAACTGAGGTAAACAGGTGAAAGACAGGACCCCACCTCCAGGAAGCCCTTCTCCATGTCCAACGGCCTCAGGCAAGTCCTGGTGGGGCAGCTGCTGTGCTACTCAGCAGCCACCTGCAGACAGGGTTTGAACTGGGGCCAACAAAGCCTATATCCATCACCCACAACGATGGAGAGGCAGTGGCCTCCCCCGAGGAAGGAGCTGAGCACCCAGGGCAGTCAGGTCTACAGGGGCAGCCCAGACATCCCATTCTTCCTCTGGAGGTCAGCAAACAGTGGAGCCACTAGGCAACCCCAACCCGCTACCACTTCCTGGCTGTGCCTAGGACACACACCTGACTTCTTGCCCTCGCACACCCCTGCTCATCCTGCCCTAAACACCCAGTTGCAGTAGAAGAGCAGAGGCCAGAGGGAGAAGGAAGCCCCATGGTTCTGGCTTTGAACACAATTCACCCCTGATCCACTTTGGAGCGACTCCACTGGTCCCATGATCTGGTCCCCACTGCCACTGGACGGAGGTGCTTGACAGGATGGAGAGTGGGACGGTGGCAACAGGCAGCAGGCTAGGAGTTCTCATTGCAGCTGTCTGGGGCAGAGGCCGGGGGGTGCCTGTCTCCTGCAGTGTTCTCCCACTCCCTCTTCACCATGACGTAGAGCCTCATTGCTGCCTGGGCATCCTGGATCTGGAAGGAGCACTCATGCCAGTGGTGACCGTGTGACACACAGAGCCACCCACCATCAGTGAACCCCTCACCTACAACAATGGAGAGGCAGTGGCCTCTTCAGAGGAAGGAGCTGAGCACCCAGGCCAGTCAAGTCTTCAGGGGCAGCCCAGATGTCCCATCCTTCCTCTGGAGGTCAGCAGACAGTGGAACCACCAGGCACCCCCAACCTGCCACCCCCTCCTGGCTGTGCCTAGGTCACACCCCTGACTTTCTGCCCTTGCACACCCTTGCTCATCCTGAGCCCTTCAGGCCAGCCCCTGTGCTGGGGATGTGCAGCCCAGTGAAACACACACTTCGCAGGAGACCTCTGTAAGACGGGGAAAAAGACGTGGAGTGGTCACCCACCCACCACCCACCCTGCAGTTCTGTGACCTATCTACAGAAAGAAAGGAAACTCAGAGGGATGAAGGGGTGAGCACTGCCCTTTAAGGTTCAGCAGACATCAGGGATACAGAATAACAAACAGTGGGCTGGGGGTCTCTGCCCTGCGGCACAAGAGCCCAGAGAGCTGCATGCCACACTGCAGGCAAGAGACCATCCTGGTCAGGAGGGCAGGGGGCCTGGGCCACTGACTATGGTTTGGATGTATCTTGCCCCCAAGGTCCTCCATGAGGCAGCATGCAGGTAGCAGACCCGTGAGAGTGGGCCAGTGGGGTCACTGGGGAGAGCCCTTGGGAGGCCTGAAGCAGTTCTTGGGCCTCAGTTAACTGTCAAAGTGTTGCTATAAAAAGATCCCCTCCAGGGCTGGGGCTGTAGCTCAATGGGAAAGCACTTGCCTTGCATTTATGAGACACTGGGTTCAATCCTCAGCACCTCATAAAAATAAAGATACTCTATGTTCATCTATAGCTTATTTTTTTAGACACCCCACCCCCCTTTCCTGTACTGGATGTGACTCTCCCATAGGCTCTTGCCATTGCACTACATCTGCCATGAGATGAGGCCTTTGCCAGAGCTGATGACAGTGCCATGACCTTGAGCTCTAGAACCATGAGTTATTAACTCCTTTTCTTTATAAAATACCCAGCTTTGGGAATTCCATCTCAATAACAGAAAATGGATTAACACCACCTTTGATTTGATTGCTGAACTTTTTTCCAAGTGTTTACATTCAGTATTTTTTGAGTGTTAACTAGATATAAACACATCATAAGCATGCTTTGCTGTTTCATTTGTTTTAAATTAACAGCCTCCTAATGAAGCTGTCCAGGCCCCATCTCTCCTGTGTCTGCTGTCAGGTGACACGTGCTTGAGTTTCAAGATCAGAGACAGCTCCCAAACCCAAGGACTGTCACCTAGGGACACTTACCGAACAGTGCTCTGCCTGCTGGACCCTGATGCCCAGGATTTTCTCAGAAAGTAGTTTCAGAGATGGCCTTCCACTCTGCAAAGGGAAAGGAGAGAGCACAGTGTGCAGGGTGGCTGCCTCTGTTCAGGAGGGTACCTCCCCAGTAGGGAGGAGATGGCTACCGAGTCCACCCTTCACTGGGAGTGCCAGAGGCATTGAGGGCAGCAGCCACCAGCCAGGACAGGCTGGTGACCGCCCCCACCACACACACAAGGCAATCTTAAAGGCAATGCCAGGCTGGGGTGTGGCTCAGTGGCAGAACACTTTCCTAGCATGTGAAGGTTCCATGGTTCCATCCCCAGCACTGGGGGAAGAAAGGGGCTAACATCTCTGTTTCCATCCTCGGCCCCTGCTGCTTCCCAGGGGCACCATCTCTCCCTTGGCACCCTATAGGGCAGTGAGCACCTACCCGGGGACCTGCCTTGGGACGAGTGTGTGGAGGACTCGCCCCCTCACACTTGTTTTCAAGGTTGGCAATGAACAGATTCTACCTTTTCTTTGAGTGCCGGGGAAGGAACACAGGGCCTTGTACCTTAGGCAGGCTCCACCCTGACCACGTCCCCAGCCCCAGCTTGTTCTTTTTTTTGGAGGGTGGTATAGTGGATTGAACCCAGGTGTGCTTAATCATTGAAGTACACCCACAGCCCTTTTAATTTTTTATTTAGAGACAGGGTCTCACTAAGTTAGTTAGGGCCTCACTAAGTTGCTGAGGCTGACCTTGAATTTACTATTTTCCTGCCTCAGCCTCCTGAGCTGCTGGGATTACAGGCGTGTACCTCCATGCCTGCCCCCCCCTTTTTTTTTTTTGTAGTTGTAGATGGACAGAATGCCTTTATTTTGTTTATTTTTATGTGGTGCTGAGGATTGAACCAGTGCTTCACGCATGCTAGGCAAGCACTCTGCTGCTGAGCTACAGCCCCAGCCCCCTACTTGTTCTTTTTAAGAATCTTTTCAAAGGTTAAAACCTTAAATCTGTGAAATCATAAGTCTTAAAGGCTAGTTTTATTTTTCTTAATACAATTTGTAAATGTTTATCTGTGAACCACCTAAAATCATTAGAGGTATTTACATCTATCTCACTTTGGGGAATATACAAAAAAGATATAAAAACAGAAAGAAAAAAAAAAGTAAAAACAAAAAACATTTTAGCCAGTAAGTCAGCTACCAGGGAGCAGAGTGAAAACATCTGACAGAAGCCACACTCATTTTAAGTACCTTTACTTGACTCTTGAAAGGTTTGTATTTCTGGGTGTCCCGGATTTTCTTTTTTGGATGATCAAGAAACAGCACCTAGAAGAAAACAATGACAAGCAGTTTCAAGGTGTAGTAATGGAACCTCTTTTTCCCACCACCTTAACAAAATTCCTGAAATCAAGGAAGCAGAGGAAAGAGTCATTAGGAAACAGCATTTGAGCTGGTTCTACATACCAGGAAACTAAAAAGATTTCAATAGCTCATCCTGTGACTTCAGCCCAGTTCCCTGAATCAGTGGCCCTCCCATCACCTGTGGCAGTCTCTGAAGGTGATTCCACACACAAGTGGGAAAATGACTTTTTTTTGATGCTGGGGATGTTCAAGTACTCAACCACTGAGCTACATCACCAGCCCTTTTATTTATTTATTTGCTTCTTCGTCTTTTTAAAATTTATTATTATTTTTTTTAGTTGTATATGGACATAATATCTCTATTTGTTTTTACGTGGTGCTGAGGATGGAACCCAGGGCCTCACATGTGCAAGGCAAGTGCTCTACCACCAAGCTACAACTCCAGCCCTATTTATTTGTTTCATGGGAAAAGGCCTCATTAAGTTGCTGGGGCTGGCCTCCAACTTGCAATCCTCCTGCTTTAGCCTCCCAAGTCACTGGGATTTACAGGGTACGCCACTGCACCCAGGTCTTTGGTTAGCTCCCAACAGTTGAACATTTATTTTATTTATTTTTTATCATTTTGGTGCTGGGGATTGAACCCAGTCCTTATATTGCTAAGCATGTGGTCTACCACTAATCTCTCTCTGAGCCCCAAACATTTAAGAGGAAACTTTAAACCACCACCAAGGTTCCTGAAAAGCCTGAGGCTGCTAGATATCCATGGGACATTGATCAGCTGCAGCAACACACTCTGGAAGGATAATGTCCATTCTGTCTGCCCACAGGGTTCTAATCTGCAGGACCCTAAGGAACAGAGGCTGAGGCCACATGCCCTAAGGAACCACCCACTCCCACCAAGTTGGCCCCACACTGGCCACCTGGGAAGGAGGTGAATCCAGTTGGAATGACTGCCAGAGGAAGCCCTCGTCCCTTCCCCGCATGCAGGGCAGCTAAAGAGGCAGCAGAAAGGGGCAGGGCACCTGGGTCTGCAACAGGTGTCACACCTGGGAATGTTCTCAAGCTCACTGAAGCTCAGCAGCACAAGCCTCCACTGTTCTGTAAAGGGTTAATCGAGACCCCCACCCCCACCCCTCACAGAGTGTAGGGATAGCACAGGAGGCTGCTGCCTGGACCTCAGAACACTACACTGGAAGCCTGTGCTGGTGGCCATGGCAAGAGTCCACAGGCATCTTCCTGCTGGCAGCCCAGGCTCTTGCTTTCCCTTGGCTTCCTTTTCTTTTTGGTACTGGGGATTGAATCCAGGGGCGCTTAACCACAAAGCTGTATCCCCAACCCTTTTTATCTTTTGAGACAGGGTCTCGCTAAGTTGTTGAGGCTGGTTTTGAACTTGTGATCCTCCTGCCTGCCTCTCAAGCCCCTGGGATTATAGGCATGTGCCATTGTACCCAGCTCCCTCTGCTTCCTTTGAACCATTCAAGCATTTGCTCACCAACTGAAAGTGACCCATGCCCTATGCCCAGCTGGGTTTTTCCCAGGATGCTGGGGAAAACACAAGGCCAGGCTCCTAGCATCAGAGATGCTCAGTACCCACCACAAAGTCAGATGAGGGCCAAGGGTTGTCTGCTGCATAAACAAGTTTCTGTGCAAGGGACCCTGGTCACAGGTGGACAACCAGTCATCAGGCCTTCCCCCAGCTCAGTCAGGTATCCCACGAAAGGTACCCCCTGTGTCCTGTGGCCAGAGCCCCTTCTTTTCCTTAGGGCAGGATATCAGCCCCTCAGGCACTGGAGTCCCACTGTAGCTTGTGGTTCTCAAAACAAGTGCCACACACCTCCTGACATCCTGAGAACCAAATAAGCAGCATCCAAGTATTCCCAATGTGGGGTCATGGGACAAATTCAAAAATAACAAGTCCCATAACAATACTTCCAGAGACAGACATGAGAAGGTAAGTGCTGCACACACGAGAGAGAGTGGGCCCTATGTCCCCAGGAGGTCAGAACCCAGCACCTTTAAATCATTGTGAAGCGCGTGCCCCACCAGGATTCTGCCCTTGAGCATTTCTGCCACTTCCCTCTGCACAACCTCAAGCTCTTCTCCTGAAAATCAAAACAGAGAAGTGAGTTTTGGCAACATAAACCACTGCCAGGGGTGCTCAATGCTACCCCTGACCAGACCAAAGCTAACAGGCCAAGTCCCCAATGCCATGCAACTGGAAGCCTCAGAGGTTCTGGTGGGCCTGGGTGTGGGGAAGCCATGAAGGACCCATGGGCGTAGATGTCTTGGGCTCCCTCCCACTACCTGCTCCCATCTCGGCCCACAGGAGAGTTCATAAGCACCAAGACTCTCAGAGGCATCTGACAGTGCAGTCAGCTTCCTGCAGTAACCAATTGTCAGGCTCAAGCGCTGTGGTTTTCCAGGTAGAAATAAAAGGAAGACTGTACCATGGACAGCAGAAGCTTTGCTGCCCTAGATCCTGGTCTCAGGAGGCAGCTCCATCTGCTCCCTCATCGCAGGCACCCTTCAAGGACTACCTTACCCCCACTCCACCCAGGAGAGCCCTCTCCCACCCTTACCCCCAATCCCATCAGAAGTCTCACAGAACCATGCTTGCACCATCTGCCTGCCCAGTCCCGGCCAGAGCTGATCAGACCAGCTTCCCTCCAGGAACTGAAATCAGGAGATGCTGGTCAGTCTAGGGTTCTGAGTAGTGGCAGGGCCATCTTGATGGCCATATGCCTAGGAGAAGTAGACAGGCAGTGTGGAGAAAGGCCACATGGCCCAGGACCCTGATGATGACCACCAGGTTTCTTCAGGTAGCAAGTATTAGAGCCTCCCAGGTGATGCCCGCTATCACATCATATGCAAACTTGGCCTCTGCTATATCCAGGGTTGGAGTGCTTCTGGTCACCTTACAGTCATCTCCCCTCTGCTCACCACCAGCTGACAACCCTTCCTATTTCTACCCCATTCTGAATGTCACCCATAGGAAGCCTATTAAAATAGAGGCTAGACCAGGCTTCTCACTGCCTTCCCAGGGCTTCCCAAAGGGACCCTGTGATCTGTCCCCGAGATCCTATCCCCAAAGCTCCCAATGGCCTCTTTCCTGATCCCCAACACACTATCTCAGTCCCCACTGCACACAGCACAAAGCAATTCTAGAACCATCCTGTTTTTTAATAGGTGGGGGGGGACACCAAAGCAAAGGAAGAAAGGGCAGGGAAGCCACGGGAACACACTGTTCCTCCTGGAAGGCAACCACCCCCAGGCACAGCACACAGGATGCCGAGTGCCCCGAACAAACTAGGGCAGCAGGGGCAGAGAAGAGAACATAGGTGCTGCTCCCCAGAGCTCCTGCACTGTGGGTGCCATACCCTGCTTGAGCTTCTCGGGCCGAATCCCACTGACTGCTGTCCTGTAGTCTGTCACGGGCTCGGTGGGCTTCACGTACTTGTCATAAACGCACTTCCCATATTGGTTCACGAGGGACACGCGGGCCACGATGCTCTCCTCCCCCTTGGGGCCCACGCCCACCATCTCACAATCCAGGGCCAAGGCTCTTGTCAGGCTGAGGGAACCAGAGGCTCAAGTGTAACAGGCCCTGCAGCCCAGGATGCAGGCCAGACCCTGAGGGAGCCTGGGTGAGGCCCTGCATCAATGCTGCGCACCCGTGACATGCTGTGCCACACCAGTTCTCAGCAGGGTCCTGGGTGGTGCTTGCTCCATTCAACCAGAGGAAGGGACCCTCTGCCCTGAAGAGCTTACACCCCAGAAGTCTGGAAATCCCCAGCTGCCCCAGCCCCCAGCCCCCAGCCACGCATACCCGTGGAAGGCCTGTTCCTTCACCAGGGTGGTGCTGCTCTCCCTCTGGCCCAGCTGCCTCCTTGCTATCCTGGCTGCCTCTGGGCCTATAGCAGCTTCGATATCTGCTGGATCAACATCATCAAACCAGATATCTTCCCTAAAAGACAAAGACAAAAGCAGCTGACCACCAGAAAGGTCTGGCTGTTGGGGAGAGACTTGGGGTACAGGTGGGCTCAAGTATGGTGGAGACTGTTCCTCCTACAAACACTGGCCTGGCTGTGCCTACTGTTTGAATCATCGTGACCTTTCCTTCCAACTCCTTTCTTTTATCTTTATTTTATTTACTTATATGTGGTGCTGAGGATTGAACTCAGGGCCTCATACATGTTAGGCAAGTGCTCTATCACTAAGCCACAACTCCAGCCCCACCTTTCTTTTAATTAGCAAATATGCTCACTACTCAAGATTCACGAAGCAGAAAAACCCAAAGAACATCAAACAGAAACAGATAGTTCCCTGTCAGCAAGTAACAGGCTCACCATCCAGTGACCAGGATGCACAGACGGGCACCAGGGCAGAGTACACACAGACCCCCACCGTGGTCTGCTCGTGTGCCTGCCTACTGCACTCCAGTCCTTAGGCTCTGCTTCGACGCCATCCCTTAGAAAGGCTCCTCCTGACTCCACTGGATGCCCTTCCCTCTTGTTGTGTGCCTGTCCCCTTCTCCCTCACTTGGTCCACCCTGAGCATACTCGTTACTAAACGGCTTGTGTCCCCTGCTTACTATCAACCTCCAGAGGGAAGGACCTTGATGACAACTCCACTGCAGGCAGCCTGCCTGGCACAGCACAAGAGGTGCCCACACGCCGCTTCCCTCTGACCTTCAGCACCCAGGCAACACCAAGTCAGCCTCTGGCTCACAAGCATGTCCCCTCCAGGTGATCACCACAGTGCTTACTGAGTGGTCACCAGCAATGAGCCAAACATGCTGTACCTAGGTCTCCTTGGACTCCACAGATGGCCACACAGAGGCAAGGGGATGCCAGGAGTCCATCCACATTGTCCTACTGGTGAGAAGCAGAAATGGGCCTTGCACACAGGTCTGCCTGGCTCCACGCTTGCTCATGCTACAGGGCTTTGTTGGTGCTCACTAAGCACAGAGCTCTGTGCTAGACCCTGGAGACATGGTGGCGACCCTGAAACAAGCTCTGCCTTCATCACACCTACACTCTGGGGAAGAGGCAAGAAGCAGGCAAGCAGGAAATAAGCATCAGGCTATGGTGTTGGAGGCACCTGGCCAGTGGCCTCTGTCCCTAGGGAGACAGGCCTAAGCACCTCTGTCCTCAGTGGTGAGGACGGGGCCAGGCATGGTTGCAGAAAGGGGGCAGAAGGCCTGCACCACCACAGCACAGCTGCCAGTACTTACTCAGTGGGCAGGGCTGGAGCTGAGGCCACGGCTGCTTCCTTAGCTTTCCGCTTCTTATGCTTGATGTTCCCTTGTTTCAAAGAAACGTCACCATTTGTCCTTTTCTTGGCTCCTTTCTTATGCTCTGCTCCCTTGGCCTCTGTGGGAGGTACTGGCACAATCCTTTTCCTCCTAGATCCAGAGGGAACAGAGCCCCCTGTGGCCTCCTGGTCTTTTTTTGTTGGCATCTCCTCTCCCTTGACTTTAGCTGAGGTCTCTTTTCTGTTCTGATGGTTAAGGTGAGGCTGCCTTTTTGGATCCATCTGAGAGACAACAGGCTTTTCTGGGGTTTGTGATGTTTGCTTCAGCAGCTAATAGGACCCAAAATAAAATACAAGCCACATTTTAATTTGGAATGACATAGACCATGTTGAAAAACATGTATGCACATATGTATAAATGCACGTCCATCACATCTACACATATTGTGGTCAGCACCACTGATCTGGCTCTGAATAGTTTGGAAAATCCTTTTTCCATTCTTACCTAAGTCACTAGTGGAGAGATGCCTTTTTTTGCTTCTCTCATATAATGCATAATTTTACACCCACTTTTCTAGTCCTACAAAACTTCAAGCTAACATTCTATACTTTAAAAATCTGTTGAGCAACTAAACTTCACAGAGCACTTCACCGAGTGCCTGGGAAGAGGAGACAGGCAGCTTTTTTCACTTGAATAAATTTGGAATTGATTTTAGGGTTAATTCCCTTGTGACTCAGATCAACATTTCCCTCACACCATCTCAGGGCTTGCTACTGTTCAGGGCCTCAGGAAGACAGAGGGCCATGTTCAATGGAAAGAAAAGCTGCTATCAAATGGGTGGCAGGAGGTGCTCCAAGGTCTTGGAGCCCAATTTCCTCTTTGTGCTCAAATCCCTTCTGGGCTGTTGTCCTCAGTTAAGACACGTGGCAGCCAGTTGAGAGCGGATGAGGTAGGTTTCTACTTTATTATTTCTATAACAGTTAAAGACCAAACGATTTACTTCCTTGCAGAAATCACAGAAAAACCAGTTTTCCCTATAGTGAACAACCCTTCTATGCATTTGATTACTTTCCTGTAAGAAAGAGAACAAACCTTTACTTAGGAAATCATATAGAACCCTGGGGTTGCCCATGGGCCTGTAACAGGTTCTTAGTGTCAAAAGAGAAAAATTATTTGGAACATCCACATTAAGATACAAAGCAGAGTGTCTCGGTTCAAGAAGTTCTTTATCCTCTCCCTCTTGTTCACCAAAGCTCCATGAAATACAAGCCAGAAAACTGTTTGAAGGTTGGTCACAGTGAAGAGCACAAACTCAAGTAAGAATGTTGTAAATCTGGCTCTCAGCTCTGCCATTTACTAGCTGTGTGACCTCAGGCCAGGTCCCTTAAGCTCTGTGTGCCCCAATTTCCCCATGAGCGAAACAGGGACAGTAACAGCAGCTAATTCTAAGTGACTAAGGACTTGAAAGCAGAGCAGGGCAACCTCTACAGTCCTTCCGGGTCGGCCTGCTGGGTGAGGCCCTGTGCCCAGCAGCAATCCTGGGTCGTTTACTGCAGCTGTAAGGAGACAAGCCTCTCGGGTGTTAGCGGGGTAGGTAGGAACACAGCCCAGATCCTGTGGCAGGTGTCAGCACGTCTCAGGAGTTTAACAGCCGCGGCAGCTGTCATCAACGACCAGCTCCTTCAAAGCCCGCGTTGCGGAATCCTCTATACCTCGTGTCTGCCACCGGCACCGGCTAGCCACAGGGTCGCTCGGTCCCTCCAGATGGCCTCTCCTGCCAACGGCTCTCTCTGTAAGGATGCTTTTTGCGGCCACTCCGTTCTGCGCTCTGCGACGCCCCAACCAAAAGCCTTGGGGTGCCTGCGTCGGCCCCCGCCCCGTCTCACCTCCCTCAGCGCCTTCCAGTTTTGAGAAAAGTCTTCGGGGGCCTTGGGAGGCCGCTCCACGGCCACTCTGGGGACGCTTCCCGACGTGCTGCTTCCTTCTCGCGCTTTGCTCTTCCAGAATCTCTTCTTGCTTCTCTTCCGCGCGAGCTTCCCGTCAGCACCCGGCTGAGCGGCGAGGATGCTCGCGGCACGCTCGGAGGCCAGCGCCTTCGCCTTCATCCCTGTGCGTCCCGCGCGCCGCTGCTGCAGCTGCAGCTGCGCAGCGAGCTCCAGGCCACCGGGTGCGGGCCCCGCTCCGGAAGAGGACCCGCGAAAGACCCCGGAAGCGGCAGTACATGGCTGGCGGTCCTCCGCAGCGCGTTCCAGCGCCTGGAAGTGCTCTTCCCTTAGCGACTCGCTGGAAACCGGGTGTACGCCTTTGGTTCCGCACGGCCGGGAGCGGGGAGGGACCATTCTCTTGCCCGGAAATAGGGTTGGCGCCCTGGCGAGCGGCGCCGGGGGTCAGCCACCCAGGGTCGGGTTAGGGTGAGCCTGGGGTCCCACTGAGATCCGGGGTGGAGTTGAGAAACGCGAACACCGGAAGGGATGGGGGGCCTCGCCCTCGCGCAGCACCGCGCCGGAGTGGCCGGAAGGGGGCGGGCGAGCGCTGCACAGGACGCGGGGAAGCCCGAGCCGGTCCGCGCTCACGGGTCCCCTGCCCTGGGGCTGCGAGGCGGCCTGCAGGTTCTGATGTTCTTATCAGAGAGCGATGTCACCAGCACGCCAGCTCGGCTCCGGGGCTCGGGGGTGCCCCGCCGAGCTGCAGCCGCCCCCGAGGACTCGGGTGGGCGCTGCGAGGGTCCGGGCCCTGCCCTGGCGGTGCGGGAAGCCTGCCCTCTCCCCAACCCGAGCCAATCACCAGGACCCGGTTTCAAGGAAAAGGAAAAAGAAGTTATATTGTTTTGCCAGCAAAAGAGAACGGGACTCCTGGCCCAGAGGCTGTGGTTCTGCCGGTTACGGGAACGGGGTTAGAGGTGATTCCCAGGCTGCGTGGCCCGGTTCTCTGTTGGAGTTGGAAGTCACGTGTTCACTTGGGAGCCAGTAGTTTCTGAGAACTCCTGGGCCGTCCCCAGGTCTGAAGGGCTTCGTTCCTGTGGTGGGTTTGTACTCAAGAACTGGAAGTCTACCTGGAATGGGGAAGAAGGGTGACCCCGCTCCCCCCACGCCCCGAGTTTGGGGAGCGGGGAGAAACACGTTCATTTAAAAAATAAGTCGCGGTGGCAGAGAGCAGGGGCTGTATTCAAAGCATAAAGAGGACGCTGCTGTTTCGGGAGGACCCCCAGAGGGAGGCAGCCCCAGCCCAGGAGTGGTGTCCCCACAGGGAGGTGGACCCCAACTTAGGCCATGCGGGTCCTTGACATTTTTCCAGAAAGGGATTTAAGAACAGGTCAAAGTGAGGCATACATTGATTTTTATCTGGAGAAGGTAAGAAGTACACAGAGATGGTAGAGTGCCGGCATTGAAGAGGAGCGAGCTGACTTCACCTGGGCCAGTCGTGTTTATATACGGAAAGGCCGTACAGACACCATCTAGGAGGTTATTTGCAGTCCCCCTTTGTGTGGGTATATTAAGTATTACTGTTATCAGGTGGCTCTAATACCACCCAGAAGGAAAGAGGAGAGGCCATGCTGCTTTCTGCTCTAGAAATATTTGGAGTCAAATTGATAGGAAAATAGGTTTTATTCAGAGCCATCTTTGAAGAAAGATAGAACATTTGAAACTAATTAAGTTTCTTCTATCTCCGAAATCCCTGATATTATAACTTTTAAGGGAGAAGAGACAGGGAAGTGCCAAAAGGCAGCACATGTATGCAGATTAGGTGGCCCTTACTGCTCCCATCTTTGGCACCTGACAGGACTGGGGTGGGGATGCACCCTCCACTCTCAGCATGCGGAAGCCATTCTCCATTTCAGATGGGGGCCCTGAATTCAGTTTCATTCTCTACTAGGGATTGTTTTCTGATGTTTTTGATGAAAAGTCTATACTGATTTCCCTTGGGGGTTGTTCATTGTTCTGCGTTGTGAATTTAAACAGTACTACGTTGGTGTAACATTGAGAACTAATTGGGAGTATGACATGTGAATGAAGACATCAGATTCTTGTGGTATAAATCAGAAATATCTATTTGCTGAGCAGTATTCTGGGACCTGTTTTTCTTTCTCCTCCCTTTACTAATTGGCACATAATAATCATACATAATAATAGATTCATTGTGACATACTCATATTTGTATGTAACATAGGATCTGTTTTTCTTTAGGTCCAGGTCAGGAGAGAGGTTACTAAAGGACCTGTGGATAAGGATAAGGGTTGCCAATCAATTGATTTATTTTTTAATATTTTATTAGTTATTGGTGGACCTTTATTTATTTGTTTATATGTGGTGCTGAGAATTTAACCCAGTGCCTCACACGTGCGAGGCAAACTCTAGCCCCAACCCCAGCCCCTGACAATCAATTTAATAGTATTATTTGTGATCAAAGTATGTAGAAGGAGCACTTAAATCTGACCTTTTAAAACATGGGCAGAAGATAGGAGTGCATGGTACAGGGAGGGGCAGCTTACCTGGTGGTGACTGAGCAGGAAAGAGAAAGGGGAAGGGACCAGGACCCCCATACTCCCTTCAGGGGCACACCTCCAGTGACTTAATTTCTCCCCACTAGACTCCACCTCCTAAGGGTTCCTCCACCTCCCAATATTGCCGCAGGCTGGGAATCATACCTTTCGTATATCAACCATAATGGGGAACGGGAGGGGTGGGGAGCACAAAGAGTGTTTTGGAGCATGTTAAAGACCTTCCCAGGAGATGCATTGGGGTTGCTAGGTGGGTTTGCAAGGGTGAGTGCAGAGATGTGGGGCTATGTACCTGCTCTGTGACTCTCCCCATGGGGTATGGGTGCAGACTGGGCAGGTAGTTGTGAGGGCATAAGGGTGTAAATGTCCAAAAAAGAGTAGCACAGGGAGGGCCACAGTCTTTTGGGTGAAGAGGACAGGTGCAAAGGAGGGAGTGTGGGAAGCGGGTGTGGGGTGGGGAGGCCAGCTGCCAGGGCAGAGCTCTGATGCCTTTTGTGCAGCCTCTGGTCAGCCAGGGTGGAGACCTTCAGGGAACTATCTAAGGCCTGGCATTCCAGGCAAGCCTCTGTCTCCAGTGCCCTGGTTCAGAGCTCCCTCTTCTTCAGACTGGACCGTGAAGCCAGCCCCCTCCCAGGAGGCCAGGTGTGCATGGCTGGGGTGCTCTCCTGGTGCAGATCCAGGTTGGGGTCTGTCCCAGAGCAAGGCCAGGTTGCAGCAGGAGGAGCTGCCGACTGCCCATCCCACTGCCTTGTCTGGGAGGAAGCTCCCTAGAGTCCCGCCCAGCCCACCACAAGAGCTTGACATTCCATCCTGACCAGATTCCGTGTCACCAGGGCCCCTCTCCTGCCACAGGGGCTTTCCTGAGGATGAGCCAGCTTCACCCCTGGGTGAGATGCCAGCCTCTGTCCATGGCTGGCGTCAGGGGAGTCCTTGCTGGTGCCTTTGTCCTGGGCTGCTTGGCACTCTCCGATTTCCAGCAGGTGGGCTCATAGCAGGAGCTAGCTGTTCAGTCTTCTGGTGGTGGTGGGGGGCTGCCAAACAGCTCTGAGAATGTGTAGACCTGGTCTTTCAGCTGACTGTATCAGCTTTGGGCATACTGGGTGGAGGAACCCGAGTTTGGTGTTTGGGGGGAGAAAGGGGCTCACTGAAGAGGGAATTGGTTTCTCCCGGTGATGGCGACAGACACATTTTTCCCAGATTGTGAAAGTCGCCCTTCTCTGCCTCTCCCCGCCTAGCCAGCCCCTGCTCTCCCTCTCCCTGCCTCTGACTTCCTCTCCTTGATCTTGCCTCCTGCCCCTTCTTCCTCCTCCTCTTTCTGTCTTGCAGAACTTTCTTGAGGCCCTGGAGCCCGAGGACCTGGCTTCTTACTTTGGCCCCAATCTACCTTTGAAGGTACTTGCCCTGGTGTTCTTTAAGCCAGGGGAGTTTTTCAGGACTTGGGTGGGGTGCCTCCCCCCTGGAACTGAATCAGTTCCAGGGTTTTTGATGGCTCTTGAGGGAGGAGGTCGTAGAAGTTGTTTCACCCCTGTTAATTAGCTCTGTTACTTCCTGCCAACTTGATAAAGCTGCTCTGGGTATTCTGGCTGGGCTGGGGTTCTGACCCTAGGCTTCTGTTAAACATCCCACAGGAATGGTCATTAATGGGCCAGTCCCCTCCACGTGGCCCCTGCTGGGCTGGCGCATTTTCGGGATCTTTGTGGTTTCTGGCCATGGATGTAAATATTTATTTCGTTTGTGGGAAACAAGACAGGCGCTGAACCGGCTTCCTCCAGAGCCTGGCTGCCATCTTCTCGGGCTGAGCTCTCTCCCCTGTCTAGCAGGCTCATATCTCGGGGTGCCAGTCCCCTTTCCCAGTAGGACCCTGATGACTTCAATTGAAAGGCTGGTGGGGGCCAGACGTGGTGGGCTAGTGGTCAGGGGGAGCGATTAGGGCCAGCCTGCTTGTGCCCTGGCTTCCTTGTGGTTTGCCTGGGGCCTGGCTGGAGGACTGCTGGGGCAAGGGGGCTGTTCCACATCTGCCCCTACCTGGGCCAGGATACTGTTGCCTGGGGTCTGAGTCTTCTGGGCTACCTTGGTGGGAGACAGTGAGGCTGTCCTGGGCTCCTGCTTTCCACAGAGTCTGGAGGCTCCATGAGGAGTCTCTTCCCTCTTGGTGGGGCTCATGACATTGCTTGTGAAACATCTGTTTCAAAGCCAAGTTCA